CTCTGAAAATTTGAAATGAAACAAAAACAACCCAAAAATTCCAACTTTCCAATCCCAAATAAGAATCAAAATCCTCCCCTTCTCTTCCTATTAAACAACTTCCAACATCCCTTATAAAGAAAAAAGTCCAAATACAGAAAAAGATTGTCTTTTTCTCAAAAAAAAATCAAGAAAATCCCCAATTCAAAGAGTTTAAAGAAATGGGGTTTGGAGAACAAAAGGGAGAGAAAAAGAAGTCTTTTTGTTGTTGGGAACGAAGTGGTGATCAAGAACTAGCTGCCTTTGTTGTTATTGTTTGTCTCAAGACGGATTTACCCAGAATGGATTTTCCCCTATCTCTAATTTTCTCTCTCCCCCTTTTCTCTCTCTCCAACAATATTCTATCGTATAATTTAATAGTTATGATCTCATAAAATTATATCGCGATAGAGTTACTATAATTAATCTACCTCGTAAGTTAGGTGGCATTTGATAACTTCGGTAACTAGTGAAAATATATGTCCAATTATATATAGATACAAAATATATATTATAATTTTTTGTGAGAATTAAAGAGTATAATCTATTCGAAGTTTATCAAGTAATTACTTTATTAGATAAATAAGTAAATACATGTAATTAGTTATAAATTACACTTAAATAATAATTCTCTCATAAATCGCTTTCTAAACCCACCAATAAATATTAAACATTTTAATCTTTTACAAGATGCAAAACTAATCATCATTCACCAAAAACTATTCAATTTAATAAATTAATTCTTATTGTTGATGGTATAGAAAGTGGCAACAAATAACATGAAGCTACAAGACAAGATTATCAAGATTGAAATAATTACTTTGTAAAGTACAACAACAACTTTTACCGTTATTTTAAAAAGGCAGAGAGCTATATTGTTTTCGAAAAGATAATGATATTAATAATTGAGATAAGCGAAATAATAAGTAATAATAAAAATCTAAGAATTCAAAAATACAAGAATATATAACAACTAATACTTCAAGCAATTTATCTGACTATCTACTAATTTTTTATTTTAATTCTTGATTTTCACACTTTTCTATCGAGAATCATTATTTTTAGTGAACTAAAATGAAAAATCGTAACAAATATTCTTCTTTGATCGGAAATAATAAAAAAATATTATATCTTAAAGCTCTTTCATTTCTCCTTTTTTTAATACATCATGAAACAAAAAATGTTTTTAAAAGAATATATTATACAGTCTGGTGGTTGTTATTTAGGCAAAAAAACGTGCAGGCACAGCACAATTTTCATTAGTCTTTGGAATGGAATATACCAATGAAACATTAATTTACTATCTATCATAAAGAGAAACATTCTGCACAATTCATTTTTATTTTTATTGTTATTGTTAAAGTGCTTGTTATTATTATTATTATTTTTTTTTAGATTTTATAGTCATGTGTCCCACTGCTAATTAAGTTGGTGAGGTGATATGCAATGTACAAAAAAGTTGGAGGAGGAAAAGATATGTTGTACTAGAAAAATGCATTTGTTCACACCCTTTTAACAATCATAATTATTCCTGCATATATCTCGAACAAGGTAAATATACTCTGAACTATCGTAAATGATATTTAGATATTATTCGATATATTTTTGAGATATTAGTGTCCTTGTCGTTCAAAAACTAGTGCATATATACCCTTTATACTAACAGACATACATGTCTGATCCGACATAAACTAAATATTGGATGGACGGATAAAATTATGCCCAAAAGTATAACGAAGGATATCTACATACCATTTATTTGTCCTTTTTCCCTATACTAGTCTTTGCTCGCGTGCAACGCACGTGTACCCTATTAATTAATATTTCGTTTTTTTTTAAATGACACAAGTATAAAATATATAAATGAGACATAAAATAGATTTTTTAGAAAAATAATCATAAACTTGAAACAATGAAGGGTGACATGTATACTCCAAATTTTGTGAAATAATTGAAACGTCAAGTAATATTACCCTATTATCAAATATAGATATGAGAACCATATATTTATTCACTGGTCATTTGTATTACATACACTTGTATTATATATATGCATGATTTTTCAATTTAATTGGTACCATAAAAGTAAAGTTCAACCATATTATTTTAATTGTTACCATAAAAGTGGCATTACTACGATGACTTTCTGAAAGTTAATGTCTCTATGATCATATACTATGTGTTGATAGTAATAACTACATTTCTTAAAGGATGAAAAAGTTCGTCAAAGAACCAACAAAAATTGAAATCCCAAGATAAAAAATAGAAAACTATCACATAACGTATAAAATTGAGCAATACCTCGAGAATACATTTCAAAACTACTAAAAATAATCAAAAAATAAATATAAAGAAACATTCAATGATACAACATATGAACAAGACCACACAAAAATAAAATAATAATTGTGTAAACCTCTTCTAGTCTAGATTGAAACCATAATGAGGCTAAGCATACTAAATACCATAAAACCAATAAAAAAGTTGATATTCAAAGAATACATCAAAATCTAATATTAAGAAAGAAGAATCAAAAGTAAATAACACTAAAAAGATCACACAAAATTAACAAATTGTATTACAGATTCTTAGCACAATTTGATGAAAACAAGATCAAAAACTTAAAAAAAACATATTAAAATACAATAAACAAAATCAAGATTAAATAAGTAAAATAATAAAAAAGAAAAAACATAAAGATTTCATATGAATGAAATTACCTTTAGTGTCTATACTACTTCTTGTATATATTTTCTCTATTAACAACAAAAGGTGATAAAGAAATAATCATTGACACAGTCCCAAGCCAAAATTAAATTGATTTTGATAAAGAAGAATTTATATACACATTTATTAAGAAAAATACAACTTTTGGTCTTTCCTCTTCTTGTAACTATTTCCCAAAAGAATTTGAACCATTGTGTCTAGAGGCATGAATTTAAATAAAAAAAATATTATCTAATATTAAATTAATTATATATTAATATTTATTTAGTTTAGAGATAAAATAAGGGCAAAATAGTAATTCAACTTTTAAGTTGAGAGCTTCATGTTTATAATAATACTAGTATAGTATATGGACACGTGCGTTGCACGTTACTTCATAACGATGAATAAAACGGTAAACAATTTAACTTTCAAAAAAATGTTTGTAATGTACAATTAACTTGAAGAATTTTTTTTACATTTAGTCCTCCCTTTATTATAATTTTGATATATAAATTATATATTTATTTTAAAAGATAAAATAAAGTAGCAAAAACAAAAATGGAGGCACACTATCTTATGATTAACTTTCTTAAAATGTCTTTTTTGTCTCATAGAAATGTTGAAATGAAATTAATATTTATACATTTCAAGAAGATAAAATGTTTGACATTAATTCATAAAAGATGAAATTCTCCTTCTCATTAAGTAGAATGCAATTAAGTAATTAAAATTTATAAATAAAAAACTTATTAGAAGAAAATAACTAAGATTTAAAGTGCAATGATTGATATTTAAATTATGTAATTATACAAATAAAATAGTAATATTAATTAAATAAATCAGATTTTAATTTAATGGAGAGTCAAAATGACAATATTAGTATTCTTACAATTAAAAGTTTGTTGAAATATATTTTACATTTTTTTGTTAAAAAAATAATAGGAGCAATATTTGGTCGAAGGATAAAAAGATCTTCTAACTTCTTAAGCATTTTGGTGTATCATTTTTTCGACTTTGGAATTTGGATCTCATAATAATTTTAATGAAAATTGTCGAAAAACTATAGATTTTATCCACAAGCACATGTAAGAATGATTCTTTACAAATATTTAAAATTTAAAATGCAAAAATATAATTATTAATATTTGAAATTAGAATATCTTGTAAGCATTAATTGTTCTGCATGTCTTATACACTATTTTTATGATTGTATTTGTCTCATTTTCTAAAGCAAAAAATACACCCTTCAATCAAATATATTCTTAAAACAAAATTACAAATACAAAGAAAAAGTATCATATATAGGAGCAAGTTTAGCATAACGCAACCAACGAAAAATAGAAAAATGCTAAGACAATCTTTTTTCTGTTTTTTCTTGATAATGCAAATAGAAACAAAGTTATAGTAATCAACATTCAACTTTTGACCATAAAAAATTAAAATATTTGGAAGACAGGTTAATGGAAGTGATATTCAACTACATAAATGGAGGGGTCTTACCATAGTTTTGATCTCGACAAATAAGTAAAAATAAATAAATACATCAAGCTTCGATATTTTAGTAATTAACATTCATTCCTATAATCACATTATGCCTTGTAATCTTGACACAAATCCTCTTGCTATGAAATTTTCTTCACTTGATTAAAACTTCTCTAGTCTTCCACACACAAAAAATTGTATCACATGTATATCTTTCTATAAAAATAATATTAAAAGATTGTATTTATAGGAAAAAATATAGCTTTGAAATATGAAGATTAACTTACAAAGTTGAAAGGCCAAGTGTTACAAAAATTAAAAACAAATATTAATTAAGAACATAAATTAATCTAGAAGATAAACCATATAGTATCTATTTAAAGGGCAAATATTTAAAGACTAAAGAAGTGCAAAAGTCATTAACATTTCTATTAAAATAATATAATTAAATATTTAAATTAAATAATTAAATATTTTTATATCATTTTAATTTATAATAAGGGTAAAATCATAATTCAACTTTCAACTTTTTTGGTTCCCTCTTATAATAATATATGATATGATTTTATAAAGGAGCCCTCAAACATCTCTATTGTGTCCTTTAGGCCCTTGATTTTGATTAGATGGATTTTTCAAATTCTGAGTTTGTCTGTATTTAGGAAGCAAGTGAGGAGGAACATACAAGTTTACAGGAGGACAAAAAGTTCTATAAATAAACAAATTGTATATAGATAGATCCATAGATAGATAGATAGAGAGAGTAAACTGTTAAATCTAAGCTAAAAAAAAACTGAAGAAAAGGAGACAAGTTGAAAAGAAGATAAAAATTATATAATACTGTACAAGAGATCAGTAGCCTCATTTAGCTCCTTTTCCCACTCTATATTTCATTTTTTTATGTACCAAAAGAGTTGCTGTAATTTGAAGACATAAAAAGAAGCCGACTACTCTTTTCAGCCTTTGCAAAATCGACATCTGATGATCCCATCCAACATAATGTAAGTCGATAAGCTATCGTTCATTAGCTTGACCTGTCAAAACGTATAATATAACATAACATGGAAATTCGGTCCCAAGGCCGTATAGTGAAATGTTGTTATAGGCTGTATATATCTGGTGTTGCATGAATGCAGAGAAATAATAAAAGCAGTCACTGTAAGATTTGTCTAAAAATGCATAGTATTTGGAGTACTAGTGGCATTTGTTGTACAAATATATTTTGGTTGCTATATATAGTGAAGTTATGTTATAGAGAATCATATAATATAACGTAACATGAAAATCGGTTACAGAGAAAACTTGGTTGTTATAGTGAAATGGTGTTACAGAGGACGGTTTGTTATAGAGAGATACGACATTATAAGAAAAAACTACCTTTTATCTATGAAGAACTGCTATGAAGATCCGTGGTTGCTGTCTTCTTCAGTTCTGCCATCTTCGACTGTTCTTTGCTCATTTGAATGTGTTGACTCTGCATCTTGATCATCAGGAAAGAAAAGAGGATCAAGATTAGCATTATCGTTTTTCGTCTTCTTCAAAGATTCATCAATGCCACCATAATCCACTTGGAAATTAGCATCCTTTCCGAGTATGCCTCCCATCTCTAAATCAAACTTCCCTTTGGAGTTGATTGAACCAAATCTATGACTCATGGACATGGATCTCATACTTGCATCGTCTTCTTCAATCACCCACTCGCGAAAGTTGACCAATGAAACTGGGATCTTAGAGCATAAGATTTCCCTGAGATTCTTCAAAATGCCACGGCTGTATGGGTTCTCTTTCTTTTCATAACGATATCTGAAGTTTTCATATGTTGTCTGCAATACGTGTGCAAATAAAAATAAGTCACCAACATGTCTGCTGTTTTTATTAGTTTTACTCTGATGTTCGTTATGTGTTTTGATTACTTCCTTTGAGCTGAGGGTCTATCGGAAACAGGTATCTTACATGCACTGTGTGTGTTCATTTGTTGTTTCTTATGTGTTCGCAATAGCTGAATTTCGCTAAGCAAAGTAATATTTTGATGCTGGGACATTTCAGTTAGCCCGACTTTCGTCCCAAAGTTGGAAACTAAGTTGCACCTCAAAGCAAGACAAAAAGAAAGGAGAGATGCATACATATCTATTGAAACTATAACAGGTGAGAAGGGAACTTGTAATAGGTATGAATTAAGATGTTATGTTATAGAGATACAGAAACAACGATAAAAGGGCGAGTAAGTTACCTGGTTGGTTGACATTAGGTAAAAATGGAAGACGCTTAGACCTCCGACAAACCATACAGCTATGAAGCAATAGCATATCAAAACCACAGATACAATATCTGTTGACATGGCATGCAAAAAGCTCCCTGGTTGTCCAAGAAGGTTCAGCAGTGAAAATGTGAACACATATATGCACAAAGTTGTTGTTGATGTAATGAAAAGGAAAAAACACCGATAATTACGCTGCCACACGAGGGGGAAAAAAGTGTAAATGAACTTTTAATGAAGTAAAGACAGGAACTTTCAAACTACAAAGAAAAATATCAAATATTAAGAATTGAACAGATGACTTACAACTCCAATACACTGACCCACCCATGGACAGTGGTGATCAAATCTCTGAACACAGTTGTTACAAATCGAGCAATGAGAAGCACGTGGTGGACGATAGAGCAAACATGTGTCACAAAACTTGACTTTTACTGAATGACCGTTGATAAAAAGGTCCTTTGTTCTTGGTAACTTCACATCAGGGGCTGCATTGCCTACCCACTCCATAGATGCTGAACTTGCATTCAATATTTCATCCAAGTCAGGTGGCCGCGAGTTCCTAGGAACTATTCCTGGATTGCTTGAAGATGTCATGAAGAGAAAACTCAACGCCTGCATTAAATCGGTTACAACATTCATTCTTAGTGCTATCCAGTTTTTGCAATTTTATATTCCAAAAGTGTTGAATTACATACCAAAACTGTGATGATGAGTCCCAAAATTAGTACAACATGACCATATATTGGACTGACTTTTGGTATCATGAATAGCATTTTTATGCAAAATGTCAATGCAGGAGCCCCTATCAGAAACGTCGATAAGTACAGTGATGCTGCATCAGGACCAAAGATCAATCTTCCTCCACATAGAAATTTCTGAAACATTAGATAAAGCTTTTATGATTGAGCTATTCTGCATCAAAAAACTAGGTAACATTGACTTTTTGCATTAGCTTATCATAAATGAAAAACCAGCATGAATTTATTAAAGCCCCTTGACAAGGCTCGTCCTAAAAAGGGCAGCTCGATGCATAAATCATCACAATAAAGGGTGACCGATTCCACGGCTCAAACTTCTAACCTACATGTTTACACATACACAATTTTCCCATTGTTCTAAGGCTCCCCTACTGAACAAGACTCGTTCTTAAACTACAAATTATCATACATGAACAATCAAGATCAAGAAAGATTAAAAAGGGCTTACATTTCGACCCTTCCAAACTTGATAAAGCCTTTTCTTCAATTTAGAAGTGTCCATGGATTTGGAAGAAAAAGCCAAATCTTGATTTGTGATCCCACCCCCCATCACAGTGCTAAATCCAAATAAAAAGTTAGAAGCTTGAAATTATATACTCCTTTTGTTTTTTCTTTCTTTTTTTTCCGTTATTATTATAGATGTAAAACAACAATACCCATAATGTATTGAAGATCAAAAAAAGAAAATGAAGATTGTATATTGAGGGGGTGCTGGTGCCAAAAAAAACATAATAATTTGGAGAAGAGGAGGAAGAAGAAGAAAAAGGAAAAAACAAGAAGTCTAATTTTTCTCTCTCCTCTTTCTTTCTCTCTCTTCTTCTTGGTTGATCTAAACCAGCTTCTCCCCAGCTCTACATGTTGAATGATGGTCTCTTTTTCTTTTTTCTCTCATTACCGTTAAAACAGTTTGGAGGAACCGAACATTTCGCGCGGATTATCTCTCTTTTATTTATTTATTTTTTTGTTGGAAAAGAGGTTTATGTTTCAAGTTTAATCCTTAATGTTTTCTCTCTTATGATATTTAGTCCCTTTTGTCTACAGAAACCCTCTCGAGCTAAAGGTCTTTTAAAAATAATATCTCTATTTTCATGAGATAGAAAAGGTCTTTTGAAAATAATATCTCTATTTTCATGAGATAGAAAAGAAATTTGTTTTCACTCCTCCTTCCTAATGGTAGATTTGTTGGTATTAAAGGCTATAATTTTATTCAATTTTTGCAATAGACTCTCGACTCGAAATAAAGTTTTCTATGTAATTTTGTTCACACCTCATAATTTCACCAAGCTTAGATAAACAGAAAGAATCACTTCATATTTTGCTAATTGTGAAATTTAACTTCTTTCAGCATTGGTACCAGCTTGATTGATCACTACGTCACATCCTTAGGAGAGCGACAAAATATATGTAATTAGAATTCATTTCTCGATAGAGAGAACTTATAAACAGAGCTGCAACAAAATAGCACTAGTCTGATGCATAAAAAGAACCGACACTACAGTCTAATACATTAATAAGATATCGTACAATATCATCGACTAGCAGAAGCCGGTGAAAATTATGAAGAGCAGGAAGAAACCTGCCCTCACTGAATTTTACCCAGTCAATGACAATCCTAAGTACTTAATAATACATAAAAAGCAACAAATTGTCTAGAGTCGTTGCAAACGATAAGCTACAACATCCCGGTGTTGGGCTCCGGGTGATGACATGATTTATAATACTAGATTCCATAAGTTATCCTTTCAGAGGGTGTACCAGATGTCCAAAACCTTGCTGCTCCTATCTTCAACTACCGATCTGCTGCAAGAGGGAAAAAAAACATGTTTTAGAGTGTTTTTTGGGGTAAAGTACTTAGATGATATTAGAAAGCATTAAGAAGATGAACACCAGACATGTTTTAGTGTTATGTGTCCATGACTATATAATTTACATGGAGTGTCTATACAGAACCAGGACAAGTGGAGATGAAATAGGAGGAACTCATCCAGCAACTGTAGAAAGAACTCGATTGATTCGAAGGTAGCCTCATTTACTTTCTATTTAGTCCATTTCCAAAAAGACAAATTTCTGAAGTGGACTATTTAATTGATCTAGAAAACACAAGTTGTCGTCCAATTAAATGGCTTTGTATTTGTTCCAATTCCAAGTTGACTTTTATACCTTTTCCCCCATTTTCTAACCATTATTATTACATATTCAAGAGCCAGCTCTAGGGGTTTGGTCTGGCTATAAGAGCACAAATGTGTGGGTCAGAAACAAAACAAGGGTTTGGAACTGTATGTCACTAGCTTGAGGATTACTGGTAATAAAAGAACTCACTGGGATAGGCGGAACTGGGAACATAAGATGAAACTGTTAGAATATCACCAGTAAATGTACTTCCAAAGACTGTTCCAGACCTGTCCCATTTGATATTAGCATGTGCTGAATGGAGAAAAAGAATTATTCTAAATTTGAGAACATGTGGCTGGAAGTTGAAGAATTTATAGATTTAATTGACAAATGGTGGAATCTTACAAATCAAATAACAGACCAAACATCGGAATAACTAAGAAGTTGAGACTTCAAAAGAATGACAATAAGGAACAGAATGTCAAGGTATTTGGCATATCGGAAGGTAAGAAAACTACAATCCTCAAAAGCCTAGAGGATTTGGATAGACAGAGAGAGAAGGGCATGGAATGAAAAGAACTTTCCAGTTAAGAAAATTCTGTCACGTGATCCGAGAGATATTGCAAGAGCTGAAGAAACATCATGGGGGTAAAATTCAAGGATGATTTAAGGCTTCATCAAAGGGAAAATACCAAAAACCTCATAAAATGGTGAATACACATGAGATGCAATCACATTCTTTATGAAGGACACACAGGGAAACACTAAGTGGAAATAGCTGACATTCTTTATGCAGATGATACAGTTGTGCTACATGGGGAAAAAGGAAGAAAAATTGCTTTCCTTAAAAGCTATTATTGTGGCCTTTGTGAGGCAATTTCTGGTCTACAGACACTCTCACCAAAGAGTAGCACATTTCCGGTTAAATCTGAACAGATGATACAAGAACTGACAGAGAAAATGGGATGTCAAGGAGAAATTTTCTAAAAGTTTACTTGGACAACCTCTTGGATCAAGACTGTCAGACACAGAAGGAGGGAGAAAGGGGCAAAAGCATTGGACAGCACGTTTGGGGTTATTCTTACATACTTCATGTCGAGATTTACACAAGCAGATGCAATTTTCTACAGCACAGAAGCCAAGATTGAAGAAAAATGAACCACATCGACGAAAGTTAAAACAGATGGTAGCTTGCACATTAAGAACTCTAGATCAAACAACGAATTCAATTCTGGCAAAGATAGCAAGCAGATGAAAAAGAGTGATCAATTACAAATATGGAATGGAGAACAAATGGTGCACAAAGCCAAATAACAGGTCATATGGTGACACTGTGTGGAGACCAGTGTTGTGGACGGCGAGAGGCGACAAAAGGCGACAAGGGCCTGCCTCGCCACGCGGCAAGGCGCTTGCCTTTTTGAATAAAGGCGCCAATTAATACCAAAAATTAAAAATATTTAATTGCATATTTTATCCAAAATCTTAATAGCAATAACACATATTAACAAATATTCAATTCAAAAACCAATAGTAGATACTAAAATGTCTAAAACTTTAAAGACCAAACAATTCAAAATACAATAAACCAAAACTTTAAAATTCTATTCTTCTTCAAAATTATTCAATCCTTGAGTGCCATAATTCCATCCAATGTCCCTCTTTTTGCTAGCATCCGCCATTGGTTATTAAATTCTATTAATTCGCTGTTTAGGAATATTGAAATAGATAATTAGGAAAAGAGAGATTTTTTTAATTAACTGCCTATAATTTTTTTTAAAAAGTTTACACAAAGCAGTAAGCAACTAAGCACTGCTTAGTGCTTACAGCCTTACACCAAAAAAACACAACTGAAAAAAAAAAACTGAAGAAGAAGAATAGAAAAAAATTGTTGAAGAAGAAGAGAGAAAACGATCCCTGCAGAACAGAGAGTCGCGAGGGTCGGAGGGAACACAATCGTGAGCCGGTGGCCGGCGAGGGAGAAGGAGAACAGAATCCGACAGCGAGGGAGAACTGGAGAGAGGATCGCGATGGAGAAGCTGACAGCGATGGAGAGCGAGGGAGAAGAGACAGCGATGGAGGAGAAGAGAAGAGAGTCAATCGAGAGAGAGAGAGTCACGATGGAGTTTCAGAATTTTCAAAAGTAAAAAAAAAAACCCCTAATTTTGACTATTATTAAGTCAAATATTTTTAATTAAAAAAGGCGGCGCCTTTTCTGTCGCCATTGCAGCGCCACACCTCGCCTTTTTACTATCGCCTCGCCTCGGCAGAGAATGGCGAGGACCCATCGCCTCGCCTCTCGCCAAAGGCGAGGAGGCGCTCGCCTTTTGTAACACTGGTGGAGACAAATCAGTGATCTGCGGGATCAAATTTTGGATCAGTTGGTAACGGTCAAAGTATCAGATTGTGGCTGGATAAATGGAGAGAAAATGATACATTGATAGACAACTTTATAGATATCTTCCATCAGACAATTGATAAGGAATTACAGTTGCATGGTGATTGGAATAGACTTGAATGGAAGATGGGATTTAGAAGAAAGGAACTTCAACGATTGGAAGATTGTTAGGGTTACATCATCACTACAACTACAGGATCAAGTAATTGCATTGAAAACAGGAAGGATTAGTGAAGGTGAATTTTCTGTCAAATCGTTCTACCAAACCTTGTTTAAGGAGGAAGTCAGATCACTAGCTCTAGAAGTTGTGGAGAACAAAAACTCGAAAACAAATGGCTCATTATGGATCGATAGCAGTACACAAGGCATGTCTCACATAGGACAATCTACAAAATAAGGATTTAATAGATGCATCAGGTATTTCTTATGTGAAGATATTGAACCAGCAAGACAGATACTGATGCTGCATTGCAATTTCAGGGAAAATATGGAGCATGTTTAGGAGTAACTATGGAGTTCACTGGGTGATGACATGGACTGTAAAACAAGCAGCTAGCTCACAGGAATAAAGGTTCAGAAAGGATGAAGAAACCAATGGAGAACAATGTCTTCCGTTGGAAGTTTGGTTAGAACGAAACCATAGATGTTAAGAGGACAATAGAAAAAAATCATCTTTTGTAAACATAGATGTCTGTATAATTTAAAATTCTGGGGTAAAAGAAAATAATGAAAATGACATAGAACCAACGCTTAGACCTGACAGATGGTCAACTTAATTACTGAAAGAATATCCAACTTCTTTTTGTATATATGTTGTACCTGGTGGTACCTTATCGGTACTATCATTTATTAGCTAGATGAAATTTAGCTTACTTTTCAAGAACAAAGACGATATTAAACTAGATAGATACTCATTTAACAAAACCACTTATTTAAAAAACGACTCACTTAACAAGCCATGGCAATCAACCACACACCTTGCTCCTCGTTAACAATTTATTAAATCCCTTTGCTCTATTGCCTCTATTAAATTGTGCGCCCCGATATGGTACGCAAGGACCGTAAAATATCAGATTAAAGAAAGAGAAAGCAGGAGCAAACTGGGAAACCTGAAGATGAAGGGAAACATAGAGCCTTTGCCACCTTATCTAAGTAGGCCCAACGGATAGATCAAAGGTAGAACAAGAGAACTCCAAAATTACTTCAATTCATAAAATCAATGGAGATGAAGCCCCAACTTTATACAGCTAAAATGCTATTCAGAATTCTATATAAAATATGTAAACATGATAACCACATCCATGGATTAGATCACAAAATGAGCAGTAGAATGAAACAAACTAGATGCTTTTATTTTAA